CTTCAGGGCCCTTGCCGTCGGCAAATGGAGGCATCGTTACAGGAGCTCAAATCTAGCCAGCGAATGATCCCTCGAGCTGTTCATCTTCCCAACTGTGACAGGAAAGGTTTCTACAAAAGGAAACAGGTATTATTTCCAGCTGGATTCCAAATAAACATGTATGCTTTGCAGATAAGGAGCAGGGACAAATTTGCACTCATTTTTCATTGTCAGTTCAGACACCAGATCTGAGTTTCCACCAATGGAAAACCTCTTGTCCTACCACCATTTTGGAGTTTTGAATTACAAGCCATAGCTGAGAGAGAAGTTAAATTTGTTCAGTTGAAGGAAGGCTATAGAAGCCCCACAAAATGATGGGGAGAAGGCTACATTTTAGATCCAGAATCACTGCAAATATTGTATATGCATGGTTCCAGATAGGATATCCTTTCCCCTGTGTTAGAGGAGTGCACTTCATAGCCTTCTCAGGAGTGCACTCCATTTCAGGAGTGCACTGCATAGCCTTCTCCTGCACCCCCAAATAAATCAATGTCTGACCTTGGGGTAATATTCTATAAAATCAGTCCTGCTGAGCAAAGTAAAGAGCTGGATTTATATTTCTGTCCTCCTCTGCCGATAGCTTGATGATAAGTTCAGGTTAATTCCATGCAAGATGAATCAGGTGTTAGAAATGGCAGCCCGGCTATCCTCCTGCTCACTATTGATCCTTTTCCTTCCCGTCTTTAGTGCAAACCATCTCGGGGCCGAAAACGTGGCCTGTGCTGGTGTGTGGACAAGTATGGATTGAAGCTGCCAGGAACTGATTATGTAGCTGGAGACCTGCAGTGTCACAACTTTGACAGCGGAAACACAGAATGAAGATCCCCGGCTGCCTCTCTCTGCCAGAGCCTTTCCCCACCCATCACCCACCCCCACCTCACGATGCCCCCAAAGACTGATTCCTTTCATCTCATTTAAGAAACTGTGGACCTCGGAATCTACAGTGTATGTCATCAGCTTCTCTCAGTGGCAATGACAGGGACTGAAGGAGAAATGGCAACCCATTAAGGCGGAAGGGAAGGGAAGGGAAGGGAAGGGAAGGGAAGGGAAGGGAAGGG